CCCGCCCCCCCCTTCCGATGTACCTTATCATAACTAATCTCAGGACACAAAGCTGCTAGCACTCCATGTATGGCTCACCTACATGCTGCCCCCGACACCAAACCTGCACTGGGGTTTATTCCTACTGCATCTGTTCATTTTACATGCAAACTCACCAGCCCCTCTCCCCGTTGTACCTAAACAAATCCAAAAATACTCTAACCTATTGTGTCACATTTAGAATTGTTTTTTTATATAGATATCGTCCTCGTCATGAACTGCACTGCTTCTTTATACATTGATTTTATACGAGCATGTTGTGTACAGTTTTGTACCATTGTTACTCTTGTTATTCAGATGAGGAAAAAATAAATAAAATAAAAAAAGGAGCACCCTTCCTCACTTACTCAATGCAGCCAAGCAATTCATTCTATTACGCTGGAAATGTGCCTCTACCCCTTCTAGGGGAGAATGGATCAGATTGGTCCGAGATATTATGGAATCAGAGCCAGGGCTGGCCTTAGGCCTTTAGGCGCCCTGTGCGAGAAAACTTTACAGCGCCCCTCAGTGACCGCGCCCCTCAGTGACCACACCCCTCAGTGACCACACCCCCATTTCCCCCAATATCCGCACCATTTAAAAGACTCCTATTTTGTTAAGCCGCAAAGAAACATATTAAAAAGTATGATAAAAATAAAACTTTTATTCAAAAAGGTATTACACTTGTAGGCACAATATAAGTATTCTTATCAAATAAAACAACAGAAGGCAAACAATAAATGTCAAACTAAAATAGATTCTATAAAAATAAAGTGTCAGGTTGTCATGCCGATCCTTTTTTCAAGTAAGTGGATCTAGAAAAGTAAAAATAGAAAGCAGAACACAAAACCCGGACTACTTGTAAAATTAATGAATTACTATATGTCCGAATATACGACAAATGTATTCAGGCGCATAATACATTTGTTTGAGAATGTGCGGCGGCCATGTTGGCCACCGGTGTGTTGTGTGAATGCGTGCCACCATCTTGGAGGCAGGGAGCATGCGCCCTGCCTCCAGAACACGCCAATGGCTGAATCCAAAATAGCATAAAAAAGTGTTTTGTTTGATGAAACAAATGAAAACTTTTTTACTTTTCTTTCATTTCCTCTGAAATAAATTTTTAGTCTTCGCACATGTCTAATAATACGTGTTCCTGAATGGGGAGGAGCCTCTGTACTGAGTGCTTCTCCCCATTGAGGAAATCTTGAATGAACAGGCTGTAATGTAAATCACAGCCTGTTCATTCATAACTGGGGACACATAGTACTATCGTATGCGTCCCCAGTTATTTACAAACACTGTAGTGATCAGACGATCGCTCCAGTGTTTGTCCTTCTCACACGGAGGATCGGTAAATATCACAGATATTTACCGATCCTTGTCATATCGGCTGACCTGCTTGTAAATATTTGGCTTAGCTGATATAGTCGTTAGTTTCAAATGTTTCTTTTTATTGGTTATTGATTTGTGTTCCCAAGTTACTTTTCCACCCATGTTACCCTCCCTCCCCACCTCCCTCCATCCTCTGCAACCCCTTCCTGCCCATTCCTACTATAGTGACCAAAGGGTGTATGTTCTTCACGTGCTTTCTTCTGAACAGGGTAGTTCATTAATAGGGCTGCACTGGCCTACATACACTTTCCTACTTTACAATAACTAAAATTAACAGCTCTGGAATTGTTATGTGCCCTGTCATTTCCTCACAATGCTCCTTTCGCTTTGTACTCTTTATTGTTTTATATTGTAAAAATAAAGATTACATTAAAAAAATAATAAGGAGCAGAGTTTCCTAAAAAGAGCTGGCTTCTAAAACAAAGCCAATATTGATGTCAAATAGGTGCTTTATTATTATTATTTATAATTTTACAGGATTGATATTAACTGAGGGAGACAATACAGTTAACAATATCATTTCAGTACAGGAGGTAGGGGAGCCCTGCTCGGGAGAGCTTACAATCTAGTAATGATTGCTTACAATGCAATGATTGCTATGGACTTTTGAAGAGCCGTGTACCGGTAAAGCTCATTGGTCCGGTCACATAAAGCAAATGTAGGAGAACCTTTTGAGTAAGATAATGGGATTCTGTGAGAAAATTCAATTCACAAGTTTTGCCCTAAAAAGCCGCACACATCTATTACACTTTTCCTTTTTCAGATACACCAGGAATATATGCAGATGAACATTATTCCTTTCTGTATGCACCCTACAAGAATGTACAAAAGGGGCTTTAGGAACCTTTCAGGGCTTCTATGCTGGTGTGACATCACCCGTGACTCAAGGACTTCTGAAGCACTAAGGCTGCACTTACACAGCTTAATACACCATTGCTGAAGAAATACTATGCAAAAGTTTACCCATTATGAAAATGACCTACTCATAGCTTACTGAAGTATTTCCAAGTGGCCCTGAGTGTTACTGTGTCCTGCCATAACCTTACAGAGGAATGTCATAATTGTAAGAACAATGTTCCAATGAAATATTTCCTGCAATGTACCTATATGGGGAAAAACTGTATGTTTGGTGAGCAAAATAGTATAGCTACTCTGCTTATTGTCTTGTATTCAAACATTTCATAAACACATCTACTCAACTTTAATTTAATTTTTATTATTTATTCCTGCCACATTCGACGGCCTATTCAAAGTACTCTAAAGCTGGTGCAGGATTTTTGTCAAATGCAAATATTTCTTGCTGTTTAAAGGGAACACCTAATAACAGAAATATGTGAACTCCCACTGCTGCAAGATACAAAATCCAGGGGTGTCATTCTTATCTCTGAGTCACAACCCACATGGGTCATAAACCCAGAACAAGCTTGCAGCTATTGAAGTATAAGAACAACTTATTTGCACAAGCTTAACTTAACCAAATAGCATAGGAAGGATACCAGAAAAAAGTAAACCTGAGTGTGCACCCTCGGGTTAATGGCAACTCACAAGACACGCTATGAGAGGACAAGGGGAAACCACATTGTTTACTTGACCCTTCCCTCCCCTCCCTTGCGCACTAGTGGAATACCTTGTATTTTGTTTATAGTATAAAAAGCATTTGTGAATGGATGAGAGGAGAGGAAAAGGAGAGTGAACTACACAATGCCTGCACTGTACGAGAGCACGAACCGTCAGTCTCAGTGCTGGAAGAAGAGCAGTGTGTGCAATATCCGGGATGAAACGCTTCACACAGTAACCAGCAGTGCTTCAGACCTAGCATATTGTTCATTAGATATACATTATTTCACTTATCATAGAAGGTGAACATCTCCAGCACTCAACCAAGTGACTTGTCACTAAGTCGCCCTGAAGGGACCCTGCATGGCCCCCGAAACACTGGCTGAATGACGTTTGTGATATGTTACTTCAATAAATAAGCAAACTAATTCTAAGCTTTTGGTTGAGCGCTGGTGATCTTCATCTTCTATAATCTTGGGAACCATCCGTGTCATCACTGCGAGCACCACGACTCTCAAACATGGTCTAATTGCTGTATGGAGTGCAGGTGGCACAAAACACTACGTTAATTCACTTGTGGTCTTTCAAGAAAGAAATGTATTTTTTTTAGGAGTTCTACTTTATCTAACCAGGAACATAAGACAATACTAGGACAGGAGGTTGGGTAATATGGTAACACTAAGCAGTTCCTTATATAAGAATCACTGACACCCAACATTACTAAATCTCAGAAGTAGCTATTACCTTTGAGAAGTTGGTTCAGGTCCATCGCATCCTGGAAAGCCTTCGGGTCTGACTTACTTTCAAAATCAGGTTCTGTGGACAACAGAGGGGTTTAGAAATGGTACAACACATCGAAGACAAACGTATGCTTTTTTTGTTATTATACAAAGCTGCATACATCAATCACTATTTGCAAGACAATAAATCATCATTGACACACAGTGTACGTTGGTATGCTCTGAAAAGAACTGTGAACTGTATTTTAAACTTGTGAGAAACTTTATTGCTTAAATCACATTTAGATAAAATTGCCCTCCCCAAGTGCTACAAACATGCGTTGCCTTATTTTCGATGAAAGGAAACCTGTACTGACAGAATATGAAGAATGCTACTGAGACTTTCCTTCTGTAAAATGCTTGTTCTGGCCAACATGATGCTGCTGCCGCCAATCGTTTCAATACTTTCTTAGGCACTGACCTAGAGGAAGTAGGTAAAGTTCTGACTTTCTAATCTTCAAGATATTCCGGGGTAAGTGACCTAAAGAAGTCAGAGAATGGCAGGTAATTAATAGTCTAAAAGTAAAACTGAAGCCAAAACTGGAACTTTTGAACCCAAAATTGGGATTTTCTTTCTTTAATAAGAGTCACCAGGACATATAGTGAGAGTGAATCTCCCCAACAGGGACACAGACAGCAATAAAAACCTGAAAGGGTTTCCAATTCCCTCTCCATTCTATCCAAAACTGAAGTTTTGGCATCAATTCTACTTTAAAGGAGACAACCCAAACATTTCTATCATAACAGGTTAACATTACAAGCCAGCAGAGAGCCTTGTGAAGCTGCTGAGTAATTAAAACGATTAGAACTGTGAAAGTGCCTTCCACTTTTCATTTTTGGGATCGCTGAGATGACATAATACAAGCAATCCTTCTGGCATGAGTAAAACATTTTGCAAGAGTAGAGTTTTGACATCAGTGCCGCCAAGGTAACCTTTTTAAAAGGGGAGCTATTGAAGTCATGTCGTGTGAATGGGCAGGGTTGCACATACTTACAAGAAGAGGAAAGGCCTCTATTTGCTGCCTTAATTGAATGGAGCACAGAGGCCTAAGTGTTTCAGCATTAAAGAAGCAGAGCACCTGATGCCATGGCCACCAAAAAACAGAATTGCACCCTGAGAAGAAACAGATGCTTTCTGCTCCAAGCACTTGAAAGGTTATTTGATAAAGTGGGCTGAAGTTGCCCTTTAAACAGTAGAAGGCTACTAAATGCAGATATCATCCCTGCACTCCCCAGGGAGTAGATTTTACTACTATAATAACTATGGCCTCCTACCACCCATACAGGCTTCTCATTCCACAGAGACATCGCTTTGTCACATTCGGCAGCCCATACTCTAAATCTTATGTACAAATGGTACTATAAAATGTGACGTCACTTGGCGAAAGCACATGGAGAAGACATCATTCCCTATTTCAACCGCCAGCATGTCCATCAGCTTTTGAGTACAGGCAGCAGAGCATTCATTGCATATGATCCAGATCCAATGCTGGTAATCGCTATCTAGCTGAAGGCAGGTCAGGCAATGTGTCTGAATCTGATTTGTAAGTCGGTGTGTGATGGGAAGAATGCAAAGTATTGTGTAAATGCGCTTTAAGTTAGTCACCAGACTGGTCATTCACTGGTTGAACTTCAGCCGAGTGCTGATGAATTGGCCATAATTCAACCTGTGTGTGGACCCCATTCCACCAGCCACCTGGTTGACAAAAGTCAATTTTTCAATCAACTTTTGTCGAAGGAGCCGGTCTGAAAATTTTCAGATACAGTGACTGGGGCCAAACAATCAAAACCCCACGCTGTCACAAGTCAATAGACCGGCAGAGAGGATTCCTTCATCCAAGCTGTTTACGTGGATAGGGGAATAGAGAGTTTAAAAACTTGCAGTGTATGCCTAGTGTATGTTACTTGTTTCCTCATCAATCATGTTTTAAAGACAAGCAGAGTAAAGTAAAACAGGAAGAGTTACCGAATATCTCCTGGCTCACATTCTCTTGTCGCTTAACTTTATTTTTCAATGCTTCACTGGTGGCTGCTATGTCAAATGACGATATGGGGCTGATGTCTGGTGTGGAAAGAGGGGTGACATCAGTGACAGTATCTTCAGACTCATCAACATAGTCTCTGATAGGTGGTCTAGAAGCCTTGCGTTCAGGCGAGCGCAGAGATAAGGGCACTTTGTCTCTCAATGACTGATAGGACTTGGAAGTTTGATCATCTGGAGCAGCATCAGAAAACTCTGTATCCGAGCTGGAAATGGAAGAAGGGAAATCCCTGCTGTACTTTGTCACATTTTTCTTTCCAACACTCGTTTGCTTTGCCGTTCTGGGCCTTGAGCTTCGGCTTTCCTCTTCGCTACTGTCATCTTCATCGGGGTAATAATTGTCTTCAAACTCTCGTCTGATCTGGGGGATCCCTGTAGGAATAATGGCTTCTATTTTTAAGCTGTGTGCAGAATCTCGGCCTGACTTTGCTGCACTTCTGGCTCTCGTTGGATCTGGAGACGACCTCAGTTCTGGGGAACTTTTACCAATAGATGCCATTGACTCCTCCTCACTTTCCATTTTGCTTGTTCCTTGTTCTGCATCATCTTCTCTTTCCTCTGATCCAGAACCCTTTTTATTTTGTTTGTATTCATGCTTGCTGGTGCTTGAAGTGGCCACAACCTTTTTCCCCTTTTCATTGTCATCATCACTATCAAAAAAGGAGTGATCCACTTCTCCGTCATCAGAAAGATTAGCGTATCGATCCATGTTATGGAATTATGTTAGAACCTAGAGATGACAAAAATAAATAAATAAATCTTAGTTGCGAATAGAATGTTGTAGGGTTGGATTTTATTGCAGTTTGTGTCCCTGATTAAACTTGCACCCAATTTATCATTTGCTATATATGCTCCAAGATGGAGACTCTCCTAGATTACAGTTAGGACCACACTATACAGAGGGACTTTGATGAGGCAGTGCAGCTTCCACATATTTTGCAACTAAAACCTCTGTTTTTAACCCTTATAGTTAGACGGTGTAATTTGTCTTTTTTTTCCGGGCTGGCTTGTGAGTGCGCTGGGAAACTTTTGTTTTTGTACTGTGTAAAGCCCATGTGCATCTTACTTTAAAGCTGGTTATGAATTGGAGTGTGTTTACCATTTGTTTCACTTGATAAAAAGGGACATAATGCTGATCCCCCCCCCCCAATGCTAGAAGTACTTATGTGATGCCTCTTGTTCCAAAAATCTTCTTCCTTCCACTGGTTTCCAACAGTCCCTCCAGTGCTGGTGCTGGTCTCTGATCCACCGCAGACTTCTATGTCTTGTGTACCACGGAGTCTGTCCGGTGTACATGCTCCCAACTGCGTTCATTCACCTACACTGTGTCTCTCCTCCTCTCCACTCCAGTGAAATCGACTGCATATGCGCCCGCACACACTTCCTCCTGCACGGCCATTCAAGAAGCTGAGTTCTAAAGCTGTGACCGAGTGGTGCAGACACAGGTACATTTTTACCTATTTGGAAAGTGGTTTTGTTTTTTATGTTTTTTGCATAAACACTATATTGCCAAAAGTATTGGGACACCCCTCCAAATCATTGGATTCAGGTGTTCTGTGAAATTTCCTTGCTACTAAAATATTCCATGGTCAACAGTCAGTGGTATTACAACAAAGTGGAAGCAACTGGGAACAACAGCAACTCAGTCACGATGTGGTAGGCCACGTAAAATGACAGAGCGGGTCAGCGCATGCTGAAGCGCACAGTGCGCAGAAGTCACCAACTGCCTGCAGAGTCAATAACTACAGACCTCCAAACTTTGCGTGACCTTCAGATTGGCACAACAACAGTGCGTAGAGAGCTTCATGGAATGGGTTTCCATGGCCGAGCAGCTATCCAAGCCTTACATCAAGTGCAATGCAAAGCGTTGGATGCAGTGGTGTAAAGCACGCCGCCACTGGACACTAGAGAAGTGGAAACGTGTTCTCTGGAGTGACGAATCACGCTTCTCTGTCTGGCAATCTGATGGACGTGTCTGGGTTTGGCGGCTGCCAGGAGAACGGTACTTGCCTGACTGTATTGTGCCAAGTGTAAAGTTTGGTGGAGGGGGGATTATGGTGTGGGGGTGTTTTTCAGGGGTTGGGCTTGGTCCTTAGTTCCAGTAAAGGGCACTCTTAAGGCATCAGCATACCAAGACATTTTGGACAATTTCATGCTCCCAACTTTGTGGGAACAGTTTGGGGATGGCCCCTTCCTGTTCCAACATGACTGCGCGCCAGTGCACAAAGCAAGGTCCATAAAGACATGGATGAGCGAGTTTGACTGGCCTGCACAGAGTCCTGACCGCAAACTGATAGAACACCTTTGAGATGAATTAGAGAGAAGACTGCGAGCCAGGACTTCTCGACCAACAGCAGTACCTGACCTCACAAATGGGCTTCTGGAAGAATTGTCAAACATTCCCATAGACACAGTCCTAAACCTTGTGAACAGCCTTTCCAGAAGAGTTGAAGCTGTTATAGCGGCAAAGGGTGGGCCAACTTAAAGGAGGAGAACTATGAGGCGAGTGCTTTTCACTCACCTCATAGTTCTAGCCGACCAGTGACAATGAGACTGTCACAGGTCGGCTCAGTAGATAGGGAGGTGAGCGAACACATACCGGCGTTCGCTCACCTCTCGATCCTGTCACGGCTCTCTGCCGTGACAGGGGAGGGGCTGGATTGCCCTCTCCGATCTGCCAGCGCTGACTGGCGGAACGGACGGGGGAGGGGGCGGGTATAGCTGGCTCTGCCTTTAGATAGGCAGAGCCAGCTGTCAGTCACGCAGCTAGGCGGATCCCGGCACAATTGTCGGGATCCGCTTCAGCTGCGGCTGCTCGCGGTACACTGCGGCGTCTCAGTATACCGCGAGCTACAGCTCGCGGTATACTGAGCCTAAGGTGATGTGAGGACGCTAGTTTGTGTCCTCCTGTTACCCTAAGGAGAACTATGGGGAAAAGACTCAACCCTATAGTTCTCCTTAAATATTGAACCCTACGGACTAAGACGGGGATGCCATTAAAGTTCATGTGCAAGTAAAGGCAGACGTCCCAATACTTTTGGCAATATAGTGTATCTACTGCTCGCAAGCAGTAGATATATGTAAACAAAATTGATGCTTTAATACCACTTTTAAAAAAATTACGCACATATCCTTCGTAGTCACCAGGACAAGAAATTGAAAGGACATCCTAGACTTTTTTTTTTTAAACAATGGAGAAAACTGTAATTCAGTAGAATCATATTTTAACATTGCATGAATCACCGCTAGGGGAAAGCGTGCTCACACCCTGTGTGCTTGCCTGGGCAGGATGTAATAATAGATGGACAACTTCTGGAGACTGCTCTGTCCTTTGTGATCTTGTACTGGAGAGGAAGTTCAGGGAAGCTGAGCAGAGAGGGTTGGGGCTGTATCATGACTCTGACGTGGGGGAAAATGTAAAGAAATACTTTGCTTGTTTGATATGAATTATTATAGAAAAAAAAGGATTGTGACTTTAATACTACGTTACTGGCCATTAACCCCTTCATGACCGAGGCCTTTTTTTAATTTTTTGCACCCATGTTATATTCCACATTTTAGGCCTGAAAATTACTTAAAACCCCCACACGTTATATATTTTCTGAATGCCAAGACCCTATACAATATAATGGTGGTAGTTGCAAATTTTTATGTTGCGCAATATTAGCGCAACTCCTTATTAAACCCCAAAATTTAGTGATACATTTAATTAAATGCCCCAAAACACAACAAAATACCACTTTTTTAAATGAAATATAAAAGATGAGGTTACAACGAGTAAAACGATACCAAACATGCCCAGTTTACAAATGGCGTGCGTCCGTGAAACGGCGAAAAACTGCAGTACCCCAGAAAGTCCACAGAAGACGCTTTAAAATTTTCATACGTAGGCGCACCCGACGCGTGTTTACGTAGCGACGCACATGCTCGCGGGGGCGGGGGATTTTTAAAAAAAATGTTGTATTATTGCTGGGATTTGTTGTACTCCTCTATAGCTGGTGGAATTCCCCTGCATAATGTATTATTGCTGGGATTTTTAGTCCTCTATAGAGCGCAATGCAGAATATCACCAGCTATATAGCAATACATCAAATCCCAGCAATACATTATATATACAGTGTATAATGTATTGCTGGGATTTGTATTCCTCTATAGCAGGTGGTACATTGTGCTGTGCAATGTACCATCAGCTATAGAGGAATACAAAATTCCACTATCCCAGCAATACATGGGCGGCGCGTGTGGAGTCGCAAACAGGGCCAACTAATCGAAAGCCGATTAATGGATGATTGAAACTGTTGACAACTTTTTCCATCATCGATTATAAATCGACTTAGTCGATTCGTTGTTGCAGCCCTAGTCGAGCGCCATGCGGGCAGGAGGTGCATTTGGGGTGCCATTTAAGTTAATCAAAACACAACGCACATCCAGCACGGTAACACACAGTAGATGCATTGCATTGTACTGTGCATTATTCACATAGAACTGTCCAATGAACGCTCAGCCTTGATGTGAACGGTCCCTTAGGAAGAACTCTTTTTTTTCAGTTTGGGATAGTGAGGCAAAGGGTTAGATCCTCTGCCCGGTTTGTATCATCCTGTGTGAATGTTCTGCTGATTGATGTGAAGCTGGGAGACACAACACCAGAGCTGTTCCCTGATATCAATGTTTGGTAAACAAACACCGGGTGTCACCGCTGCCAGGTATGTCACACACAGCACTGCAGGAAGGCATCAGGTCACCATGGAGACGTAGGAGGGGGCGGGGCGCAGTTACAGGATGGTCCCTGTCACTACCATACGTCTATATATGGGGTATAAATGTGCAGCTCCGATCAGCAGCAAAGCCCTCTCCCAGTCACATGGCATAAGGAGACCGAGGGACAGAAAACACAAATCCCTTACCTGTCTGTGGATCAGATCCCTGCCCAGGACGCACCTATAGACAGTGGTGGTGATGACGGCACTAGAATGGTGGCCACTGCGGATCCCCTCACACTCCAGCAGCTCCTTCTCTAGTCTCTCTTTCTGCAGCTTTAGGACAGCATAGCTCCACTCAACCGAAAACACCCCGCCCCCGTATCCACATGACGTCACTTCCGGCACTAAGGGCGGGGCGTCATCCCTAGTTGCCATATTGAGTGTGGGCAATTTGGAAAGATGCGTTTTGTATATGATATCTCATCTTTCAGGAAGATAATATGTGTGGGTTATTATTTTTTAGCTTTGTAAAGTATTACTCGTTAAAGGCAATAAATGAAAATCTGACTACAAAACATGAAAGAGAAAAAGTGAACCTAAAGTAAATTACAAATCTGGCTGTCCACCTGCTGCACATAAATGCCAGCATTAAAGTGTTTCCATACCCAAAAACACATATGATATATTGCAGCTTACCAATCCTTGGATGGGGTAGCTATGTTATTTTTCAGGATTCAGGATTTTTCCCTTCGTTTTCACCTGGTGATCCTGTAAATAGCACCATTTCTGTCTACACTAATTTCTCCTTTGTATCTATGGAGGAAGCCATGGCTGTCACCCAACAACAGATATTTTCTGTATTTCCTGAAAATGTTCTTGGCCTGAAAAAACAAATGCAGCCATTACAGCTAAGAACTGCAGCATATTACATTCTTGTTTTTAGGTTTACATGTGCTTTAAAGGTCTGGCACTGGTAGCACACCACGGTGAAAAGTGGCCATAGTTCAATAGGCATGGTTATACCAGTGTGATTCAGTCATAATAAACATGTGATGTGTTAAAACAGAGCCATGTTTCAATTAAAACGTATCGAATGCCAAGAGGAAGGCCTACAACAGTGTTTTGCCATTTGTGTCTCATTGGGCGAGATTTCCATTTCCTTCTCTTCCTGCGAAGACAATATTGAGTGAGAGAAAATCTCACCAAAGTGAAGGAAATACCCCATTAGACAACTGTCCCTGGAACAAGTGTCTCTATTAGGCCCCTTTCACATGGGCAGTCCAATCGGCCTATGAGCAAGACAGCTCTAAGTTGAGTATGATAAATGTTTTGCCCAGAGTTCTTCAAAAAGTGCATTTAGCCCTGATAATCTCCTGGCTTTTTAAAGCAGTTAAACTGCCTATACAGTGCTCACATTTCAACTGCTTCCTGCTGAATTGGACGGAATACTTCTTCTGGCTGGCCCTGTTGGCACCAAAACTTTATCCCAGACACAAAAGAAAATGGGTTCCTCCTTAACACTAGAGTCCACCCTTCACATTAAAACCCCCACCTTTCACATCAGAGCCCCCCTTTCGCATTAGAACTACCTTTTAATATCAGAGTCCCCTCTTGACATCAGAAGCCCCCCTCCACATGAGGAGCTCCCCTTTTAGCCTAACCCAGAAAAGGTCTTTGCAACTCCTAAGTGTTTTGCCAGGACTGATGCCTTTGTGCCTATGATCTGCCTTGCTAAATATGCAAGTGAGAAATCATCTCAAAGGGGTACTTACAGGAACACTGAAGGAGCAGGAAGGGTTAATGCCACCTGTGACCTAGCAGGAGGAATCCTGGATCTTGTGGGGAGCCAACTGAAGCTCTGGTAGAGTTGCAGAGGCAATACATGCCTCCACCTGTCTCTGCACTTGTGGAGAGTAGAGTTGTCACCCAGGAGTGTGATGTAGCCCTGCCCTTGCAATCTATAGCACGACAAATTGAAATAGTGTTGCTGAGCCAAAATAAGTGCTGCATCCCTCAGTAGACACCGGACAACATTAACCATCAGTCATGGTGCTTCAATGGAGTGTGTGTTACACGATTTCAATGTGTCGCAGCTCATGGCATAAGCCCTGAAGAGGGAACACACTCTTAAAGGTGCCAGAACCTACAAAGGCAGGGCAAGCACTGTTACTCACCAAAGGTGGACTGGATGGGTGACAGTAGCCCATGTAGGACATCAAGTGCATACCGGACAGACTTTGCTGCTCTGGTAGGCATAACTCTGAAGATGCGAGCTTCAGGAACTGGCTTCCACCAGCAGGTGCAGCATGGCCCTAGACCTGTAAAGCACTACGTGGCTCACTCAACAAGTTACACCATAGGTACCTATGCAAGCATCCAACGCAGAGTCCAGTGCTCGTGGACTTCCTCAAAGTGGGGTCTGGGTATGACCTCCAAAGCTACACCGATTACTGGCTGATCTAGAAGCTGCAAAATGAGCCCCAGTGGCTCTGCAGTAAATTAAAAAAAAAATCTTGCTAAAAGGTGGAAAAAAGTAGTTTGCTTCTCCCAGAGGATAGAAGACATCCGTTCTCCTAGGGCACTAGGAAAAAAAGTGAGGCATGCAGGGAGTGGGAGGGGTTATACTGGGTCTGTGTTTGCCAGTGTCCAAGCTGCTAAAGATGGCAGCATAATCTTATGTGCATGAATACTTCTCTTATAAGCTGTAATATACAATTAAGAAAAGGTAATTACTTTTCTGAACATTAGTGAACTATCTGAAATTGTGTAAGAGGGAGGGAGGGAGGGAGGAGGAAGCGGACGAGAAGAAAGAAGGAAAGAAGAAAATCGCCTCTAGGTGATCAGCGTTCATTACAAAGATTTAATAAATGTTGCAGATGCCAATCTCTTTCTGATCAGAAGAAAAGCTGTTTGTTTCATCATGTACTTTGCAGACTGATTCCGGAATCTGAGGGTTCATTAAAATCACCTGAGAAGATTTCAGTGTTCTAATAAGGAAAACTGCAGTGTTTTGGTCCAGCCCAGGACACAATGGACAGCCCTGGTTTGAAGTGGTAGAACACAATGGCAGCCCTGGTGTACAGTGGCAGGAAGCTATGGACAGTTGTGGTGTAGACTGGCAGGACACAACAGAGAGCCCCGAAGTAAAGTGACAGGACACAATGGACAGCCCTGGTGTGAAGTGGTAGAACACAATGGCAGCCCTGGTGTATAGTGGCAGGAAGCTATGGACAGTTGTGGTGTAGACTGGCAGGACACAACAGAGAGCCCCGATGTAAAGTGACAGGACTCTATGGACAGCCCTGGTGTAAAATGGTAGGACACAATGTACAGCCCTGGTGTAAAGTGTCAGGACACAACGGAGAGCCCCGGTGTAGAGTGGTAGAACACAATGGATAGTTGTGGTGTAAAGTGGCAGGGCACAATGGACAGCCCTGGTGTAAAGTGGCAGAACACAAAGGCACGTTGAGGTGTAACGTAGCAGCACACAATGGACAGCCCTGGTGTAAAGTGGCAGGACACAATGGACAGTTGTGGTATGAAGTGGTAAGACACAATGGACAGTTGTGGTGTAAAGTGGAGGACACAATGGCTGGCCCTGGTGTAAAGTGAGAGGACACAATGTACAGCCCTGATTTGACAGTGGCAGGGCACAATGGACAATTGTGTTGTAAAGTGGCAGGACACAATGGACAGTTGTGGTGTAAAGTGCCAGTACACACTGGACAGTTGTGGTGTAAAGGAGCAGGACACAATGGACAGCCCTGGTGTAAAGTGGCAGAACACAAAGGCCTGTTGAGGTGTAATGTGGCAGGACACAATGGACAGCCCTGGTGAGACGTGGCAGGACACAATGGAAAGTTGTGGTATGAAGTGTCAGTACACAATGGACAGTTGTGATATAAAGTGGCAGGACACAACACAGGTCCTGTTGTGAAGTGAAAGGACACCCCTCATTTGAAGTGGTAGGACACAACGGAGAGCCCCAGTGTAAAGTGTCAGGACACAATGGGCAGTTGTGATATAAAGTGGCAGGACACAACGGCAGGTCCTGGTGTGAAGTGAAAGGACACCCCTCATTTGAAGTGGTAGGACACAACGGAGAGCTCCAGTGTAAAGTGACACAATGGATAGCCCTGGTGTGAAGTGGCAAACCACAAAGGACTGTTAAGGTTTAATGTGGCAGGACACAATGTACAGCCCTGGTAAAAAGTGGCAGGACACACTGGACAGTTGCGGTGTAAAGTGGCAGGACACACTGGACAGTTGCGGTGTAAAGTGGCAGGACACACTGGACAGTTGTGGTGTAAAGTGGCAGGACACAATGGACAGTTGTGGTGTAAAGTGGCAGGACACAATGGACAGTTGTGGTGTAAAGTGGCAGGACACAATGGACAGTTGTGGTGTGAAGTGGCAGGACACAATGGACAGTTGTGGTGTAAAGTGGCAGGACACTATGGACAGTTGTGGTGTAAAGTGGCAGGACAATATGGACAGTTGTGGTGTAGAGTTGCAGGGCACAATGGACAGTTGTGGTGTAAAGTGGCAGGACACAATGGACAGTTGTGGTGTAAAGTGGCAGGACACACTGGACAGTTGTGGTGTAAGGTGGCAGGACACAATGGACAGTTGTGGTGTAGAGTGGCAGGACACTATGGACAGTTGTGGTGTAAAGTGGCAGGACACAATGGACAGTTGTGGTGTAAAGTGGCAGGACAAAATGGATACCGGTGGTGTTAAGTGGGAGGACACATTTTTAGTCCTGGTGTACAGTGTACAGTGGATAGTGTTGGTGAACAGTATGAAAGCACAATAGCAGGGTTGTAGCTACCATGGGGTGAGTGAGGCACTCGCCTCAGGCGCAGCTGAGAGGGGGTGCAGCCAGGGGCAGTCTGGCTGCACCCTCTTGCCCATGTTGCCATTGGCAACAGGGGTGCCGGACGGCCACAACACATTCGCGGCTCAGCAGGGAGAAGAGGATCAGCACAGGCTCCAGCTTCTCCTCGGATCCCCGCTGCTCTCCCCCACCTGTATGGGCAGAGGACTCTGTGTTCTAAATCTCTTTTTCTACTTCAAAAGGGAAATGGCAGGTGTCTGTTTAGACCTCTCACATTTCACCAAAGCCCCCCAACAGTAATAATGATAATAATTAAACCCCCCCACACACACACTCATGCACACATATTACTAGACATGTGCAAAGACTGAACATTTGTTTTGGACGAAATGAACGAAAACTAAAAATGTTTTCATTAGTTTCGTCAAACAAAATACATTTTAATGCTATTTTGGATTTGGCCACCAGCGCAATTCGCCGACTTCCTGGAGTCGGGCTGCATGACGTCGCATACTGCACGCGTCTGTTGGGGGGCACAATTTTCTGTTCTTGCCTCGGGCGCAAAAGGAGCTAGCTACGGCTCTGCACAATGGATAGTTGTGGTGTACACTGTGAAGACACAATGGATAGTTGTGGTGACAGTGTCAGAACACAATGGACAGTTTGGTGTGAAGAGTGAGGACACAAGGCACAGCTGTTGTGTACAATGTGAGGATACATTGGATAGCTGTTGTGTATAGTGTGAGGGTACATAGGATAGCTGTTGTGTATAGTGTGAGGGTACATTGGATAGATGTTGTATACAGTGTGTGGGTACATTGGATAGTTATATTGTGTACAATGTGAGGGTATTACATATCGTCGCGAACGTCGGAATGAGAGCAATAATTGTAGGGCTATCAATCACTGATAACACTAAACTGATGAGCGGTAAAAGCTTTTAAAGCGTCACCTATGGTCAATTTTGGGCATGGTAATTTTTTGCGATTTTGCGGGTGCGCGCAATTTTAAAGCATGACATGTTTGGTGTCTATTTACCCGACGTGACCCCGTCTTTTTATATTTTACCAAAAATATGGGTGATAAATGTGTGTGGTTACTGGGGGTGTGGCCACTAAAGGGTGTGGCCACTGAGGGGTGTGGTCACTGAGGGGCGCTGTAAAGCTTTCTCGCACAGGGCGCCTAAAGGCCTAAGGCCGGCCCTGGAGGGTACATTGGATAGTTGTTGTGTACAGTGTAAGGACACAAGGCACAGTTGTTGTGTACAGTGTGAGGGTACATTGGATAGTTGCTGTGTACAATAAGAGGGTACATTGGATAGTTACTGTGTGCAGTGTGAGGACACAAGGCACAGTTGTTATGTACAAGGTGAGGGTACATTGGATATTTGTTGTGTATACTGTGTGGGCACAATGTATAGTCGTGGTGTCAGAACACAATGCACAGATGTGTACAATGTGAGGGCACAATGTATACTTGCGGTGTGAAGAGTCAGAACACGATGCACAGTTGTGTACAATGTGAGGGCACAATGTATAGTAGGGTGTAAAGTGTCAGAACACAATGCACAGTTGTTGTGTACAGTGTGAGGAGGACACAATAGTGTGTAGAATGCAGACACACAGGAGGAGTTCCTCATCCTACGTGCTGTCAGAACAAAGTCCACACACAGCCACTCTCATCCTTACACAGGGACGGGGCGGGGCCTAGCGGAGTGCGGCTGACAGGCACACGGGGATTAGGGCGGGGCCTAGCGGAAAGAGTGAGCACCAAGCCGGGCCGGAGCTCGCAGCAGCCCCGGGGAGATGAACGGCCTGAGCGCGCCGGGGGATGGTGCAGCGCTATGAATATACATGGGGGTCATGGCGCGACCGGCGGGGCAGGGGGCGGAGAGGCTCATTCCGGGAAGAGCGATCAGATGGAGCCCGGCTTGGTGAATCATGCCAGCTGCAGGAAAAGAGGGGCACTGGGCATCCCTCCGCCGTGCTGCCAGCTCATCCCCGGGACTCACAGCTTTGCCGAGGACTCTAAAAACGCTCCATGGAGCCGATCGCTGCCCGGAGAGCAGCCGAGCTCAGCATCCCGCAGCTCCCCATCCTCTTCCTCTCGCCCCATGCTGGCCGCCGTGTTCGTGTTGCTTCTCCTGTCCCTCCTGCCTCTGGGGCAGCAGCGGGGCCAGTCCGCAGGGGCCCCGGGAGGGGAACTGAGCCTCACTGCCCTGCTGCTGCGCTGCTTTGTCTACCTAGGCTGCGCCCTGTGCGCTCTGTTGTTCGGGTCACTGTGCGCCCTGCACTGGAGTGGCCGATCCTCTGCTCCCCCGGACTTCACCCGATCCAGGACCCTCAGACAGGTGAGCACTGGCCGGGCACACTCGGGGATTGCACAAGAAGGGCTTGACCTACAATTACGCAGTGACCGTAATCCCGGAGCTAATAGTGTCTGCCACGGGCTTTAATTATCGCCACAGCCCAGCGGGTAGGGTGGGGGGGGTCAGCTGCAGCGATCATCAGGGGGGCCAGCTACACCCAGCGATCTGCTCCAATGCTAGGCTGGACTTGTGTTATCTAAATGGGGGGGGGGTATGATGGTCACCACAGACATCGATTAAAATATGCAATATATGGGATCAATTCCAAATGCCATCTATTAAATTAAATCAATCTGTATTATGATTAGTAGTCTGACATGTGCAGATAATTGTTCAGTCATTCCATAAAATTCCACCGCGGGCGATCAGTTTACCGGTGTCTAAATTGATCGAAAGCTCACTGAATCAATTGTTTGTGGTTTACTATTCTTATTGAATTCGATCAATCTAGTCACATTGAATGATCCTATGGATATGGCTAGTGGCCACCTTTAGAGAAGTCATTGTGATATTCTTCTTCTGTGACCCTGTGCTGTTGTAATAAATACATTTCATAGGACTGAATGAGGTGGCTGCCCATTCAGGAACTACAGAATAAAGCAGTCCTATTTGGACTACAAGGCTCAGCCGGGGTTTTATTGGGATAAATGATATACGAAAAGAAATTGAAATGTTCTTATGGTCTCAGTAGAGATATATAGTTCTGAGTACCTGAGTTCTGGAATGATGATTGGTAGGACCATCACTGTGTGTGTTGATGCACTTTGTTTATAGATCTGTCACTGAGCAATCGGAAGCCTTATCTTTGTGTTTCAGGATTGTACGGCCTCATTCACACTGGTGGTGACATGCATGTGTTTATATGAGCCTCCCAAATGCATATAAATGTATGATTCAGCCTGTGTTTTGGTGCATTCAGAGAAATAGAATTCTGTGCATTCGGGGGAAGGTTAGATTATTAATCTGTGTAAACGGAGGAGAAAGTGATCCAGGAATCCTAATTATACTTCCTAGATGTTTCTTCCTGCGTTCAAAGCCTATCTCTGGGCAAACTGCTTGTTTATACCTAGGGCAGAGTTTCTCAACCTTTTTTTCTTTTTCAATCACGGCACCCTTTAAAAGTATGCAAAAGCTTGAGGCACCCCAGTCTAAAAATGACAGAATTTAAGGGGGACCCCACTTTAAAACATACAAAAAAATGGGTTTCCCCCTTCACATTGAAGAGCCTTCTTTAAATCAGAATTCTCCCCCTCTTTCACATCAGAGTCACCCTTTACATCAGTAGCCCCAGTTTCATATTAGAGGTCCTCACCCCCTTTCACACCAGAGTTCCTCTTTTAAATCAGCCATTCATATCAGTCTTCATTCCCCCCCTTCACAACACAGTCCCACTACCACAACATTTTGAGGCACACCTGAGGAGGCCAGAAGACAACCTGGTTGAGAAAAGCAGGCTTAGGGGATGGGAGTAGAGCACTTTTACTTACCTGATCCCCACTCCCATGGCTGTCAGCGCTCACCTATCTCCCGTTTCGCTCTGGCTGGTGGAATGTCCCTCGGCGTCCCCACGTCTATCGCAGGTCTATGGAACCAACACTAGACCTGGTAACATCACACTGATGTCATCAGATCTAATGTTGGTTCCATAGGGAGGAAGAGGGTGTGGAGTCTGGTTTAGCAGCCTGAAGGGAGTCAGCTGGTGTAGGGATCAGGTAAGTAAAACCGCTTTTTCCTGTCCCCTAGGCCAGGGCTGGAGGCATCCGAGGGTAGCCAATGCTCCCTAAAAATTACAGCTGGCATCTAAGTTTTGAGGTTTTCTTTAGTTGTTGTCAATGGAACTGGCACCTAAAATAAATTGTGCTGGCTTCTGAATTGGACAGACTGGCAGCTGAATTCCATGTTAAAGTGATAATAAAGTCAAAAGGTTTAAATGCTGATTAAGTCACCTACATTGCATGCTGCTTCTTGGTGTTTAAAAGTTTGTTTCCAGCAGAATCAGGTGGTCCAGATATCCTGCTTTAGAGTGGTTCCTTTCCCTTGCAGGGTCCTATGGAGCCACCCTTGTGTGTGATAGTAAGCTGTGTGTATCTCCCCAAACACAGCAAGGCAACTCACTCCCTTACCCCTTGCTCCCCATTTCTCCTTCCTTCCATCTCCAAACTCGTAGATGGATGGCTGCTGGAGACTGTACTGTTCCTTATGATCTTGTACTGGACAGGAAGTTCAGGGAAGCTGAGCTGAGTGAGTTGGAGCCAGCTGTTTGGAAACATGATGACTGTTGTTGTTTGGGTAAAATGTAAAGAAATACTTTACTGGGCAATGTGTATTAGTTTGATCTGAATTCATTATGGACAAAAAAGATTGAGAGTTTAACACTGCTTTAATTTTTCTGCCCCTGCCCTAGGCAGAAACCCGCAGGTAGGTAGGCATTAACCTACCCACATGCTGCAAGGGTAGGTTTTTGGTTTGCTCGGAGATGAGCTTTAAATAAATCAAGCCCAGGTGGCTATTGGGAATGTAACCTTTTGGTTTGTGATTATTTTATATTTTTTGTAATAATATTGATAAAGCCTTTTAGAAGTTATGTTGAAGAAATATTCCTCCTTTTGTTTATCATCACAGTATCCTGGATTGTGTTTTTTCAGCTTTCATTTTTATTGCATTGATCTGAGTATTTTATCTGTGTTCAGTTTCTTGTTTGTCAGTGGTAGCTATGGTACAATGTTCCATGCTGTTGATACAGATTAGGTGTAACTATAAATCATGAGGTCACATAGCAAATGCTGTACCTTCATCCTTCATCTGATGCCTTGTTCACACCAAGCGCGTTCCAGGAGCAGAGCAGTTACAGACCGGATAAAAACGGCGTCCAATGTATTCCTATGGTATTTTGGGCTCTAGTTCACACCGCAGCGTTCAGTTGCAGAGCATGTAAAAAAACTGCAGCAAGCCCTATTTTACCTGCCCTTGAACGCATGCAAACACCCTGGAACGCACTGAAAGCCCATTTTAAACAAAAAAAAAAAAAAAATATAGATATATATGTGTGTGTGTGTGTGTGTGTGTGTGTGTGTGTGTGTGTATATGTATGTATATATATATGTGTGTGTATATATATATATTTTTTTTGTTTTCACCAAAATCGGCCCGGAACGCATCAAAAATGCAGCACAACCCACTGGTTGTGCAGAAACTCATGCAGATCTGGTCTGCATTTGGTGTGAACAAGCCCTTAGACAGGCGAGACATCTCTGCATTCTCAAGCAATGTGACCGGTTCCAGCTCACAATTGTTGGGTCACATCGGGGTAAACTTTTAGGGCTTGTTCACAAAAGCACAGTTAGCTGCTGGAACGCACTGTATTGCAAACTAAACTTCACCCTGCGTTCTGAGGCGGGAGGGGGTGTGGCGGTGCATTGAATTCAGTAGCAGAGCAGCCAGATCGCTCGCACCAGAATGCATGGCACATCATTGCCTCCGTTGCAGTCTGGTGTGATTTGAAAAAATGCTGCATGCACTATTCTTTTTCAGATCGCACTGGACCGCAACGCGAGCATTGATGTGCCACGCGTTCTGGTGCGGGTGATCGCACTGTGGGGCAGGGAGTGTGGCTGCGGTGCCATTGACTTCAATGCACCACCATGCCCCTGAACGCAGGAAGTCGGCTGGGATGCAATACAGTGCGTTCCAGCAGCTCACCGCGCTAGAAGGCACTGTAACGCGCGTGAACAAGCCCTTAAACAAGAACTCTGAGCACAATTATTATGAACCCTTGCAGTGGAGCTACCCCTGCACTGCAAAGGTTAAGTGCTCATTTTCGTCTAGGGTCACAAATAAGAAAGGTATACTTACCCAAACTGCAGTTGCTACGCCAGTCCCTGCAGCCGGTCGTCTCCTCAGCTCCAGCGATAGAATGTCCCTCGGAGTCCTCACATTCAATACAGTAAATTGGGCATGATAACTCATGAGACCTCCATAATGGAGGGGCCACCAGAGGAGTGGGTATGCTATCTCTTCTCTTCAAAGGAACTGGCACTTTAAAAACATTTTCTTAGAGACCTAACAGGGTCTCTTTAATTTGCATTTGAAAGAAAGAAAACTCTTTCCCCAGTGGGTATATTTTTTTTCTTGTGAAACTATCTTCTTTGAGCAAACGATTGATGAGATTTAATTATTTATTGTAACTTGTATGGCCAGCATAAGATCCCTTGCCAACTGTTACTCTGCAACACATAGAACAAGAATGATGCATGATGGAGTCTTGGTTCGCTGACCTTTGTGTGCAGTCAAGTCGTCAGCCCTTAAACAATCCTTTTCTTTTGCCAGTGTTTAAAGAAACCACTTCCAGATATGAACTATTCATTTTTTTTTAAACAACTGATGTAATTAGTAAATAAAGTCCATGTTCTGGTCAATCCCTAGAGACCTAGAGAATATAAAATGACAGTTTTCAATCACAGCCCTTCAGATACCTCTCCCCATCCTGTGACAGTCACGTGCACTGCTCTCTGCTTATTCCAGTGGCCAGGGGCAGTGGTTAAAGATGGTTATGGAGACTTGGATGTTATCTTTTGACAATGTTTGAGGGCTGGGGCAGACTTCGGCGATCCCGGGACCGTGCAATCATGTGCGGGCACACACACCGGTCGTCACGTGGCACCATTGATTTCAATGGGGTTATATCCGCACAGCAATAGCTGAAAAAAGGTACATGTACCTTTTTGGCGACATGCACCGTGCGGGTTTTTAAACCACTATTGTGGGCGATTATTGCGGCGGGAACAAAATAATAGATAGATAGGCAGAGCCAGCTGTCACTCACGCAGCTGGGCAGATCCAGACATAATTGTTGGGATCCGCTTCGGCGTCTCAGTGCTCGCGGTATACTGTGGCGTCTTAGTATACCGCGAGCTGTAGCTCGCGGTATACTGAGCTTAGGGTGACGGGAGGACGCTAGTTTGTGTCCTCCCGTTACCCTAAGG